TTTTTAAATTTAAGTAGCCCTTCTCCCCCCCCCCCCCCCTTCCCACTTTGGACTTGGATCCACATCATGCTGCCCCACACACAAAACCCAAACTGCGGCTGCTGAGAAGTGCGCATGGATATTTTTTTTCCTAACGAATAGTCGAGAATATTATTATTTTTTTAAAAACAGGGTAGGCGGGGGGGGGTTCTTGTTGCACTTGGATCCATATCTTGCTTCACTACACACCAAACCCGCACCGGGCCGCTAAGAAGTGCGCATGAATATCTTTATTTTGATATATACTCAGGAATATATGTATTTTTCTTTTTGATTGAAGTACCAGTCTAGTGCGGGTTTGGACACAGAGGCACATCCTGACCTGCCAGCTGTCTGACATCGGATACACTTCCTAAAGAAGCAGTCTCCCAAAATACACAGGGACCCAGTCAACCTGAGTGGTTAGGGCCGTTGCGTATCTCAAATGTATGCGTGGGTTCAAACCTCGACGCCAACCATTGGCAGCGAACTTCATAATCTTAACATGTGTGTGTGTGTGTGTGTGTGTGTGTGTGCATGTGCGTGTGTGTATGCGTGTGTGTGTGTGTGCGTGTCGGTGTGTGGGTGTGCGTGTGGGTGTGAGTGGCTGCGTGTGCGTCTGTGTGTGCGTGTGAGTGTCACTGTGATTGGGTGCATTGCGTGGGTGTTTTGCCTGCTGCGGCTGCCTCCGCCGCCCCGATGCTTTTTGCCCTAAACAGTAGCAACTGACGAAAAAAGAAAAGACAAATGTGGGAGCGTGGAGCGGAAAAGCGACAGACACGAGACGAAAAAAAAAAAAGAAAAGAAAGAGGGGAGCGAAAAAAGGCGTGTGAGTGTCACTGTGATTGGGTGTGTTGCGTGGGTGTTCTGCCTGCTGCGTCCGCCCTCGATGCTTTTCGCCCTAAACGGTAGTGACCGACGAAAAAAAAAAAAAAAAAGTGGGAGCGTGGAGTGGGAAAGCGGCAAAAAAAAAAGGCACGACGACACACTACAGCGGTCAAAACAAAAAAAAAAAGGGAACGACGGGCGGCCCAATATGCAGTGCCCCCCAAAAAAAAGGAACAACGGCTGCTACACAAAGCAGGCACACAAAACGACGACCGACCCGATATGCGGCGCCCAAAAAAGAGAAACAAAAAAGCGGGCACCCAAAACGATGACCAACCCGATATGCAGCGCCCAAAAAATAGAAACAAAAAAAAAAGAAAACAAAAAAAAAGGAGAAAAAAAAGAAAGAAAAAAACAAGGGGCACAAAACGACGGTCGGCCCCACACTCCGATATCGGAGGGCTCTTCTCCGAGATGTACATCCACATCGACGCCCGCCGTCTGCCCCGCCCCGGGAGCGTGCTCTCACGTTTAATGGAGTGCTTTGAACAATTCAGTACGCACGCCGCTCTGCACGCCCCCCCCCCACCGATCGCCTTCATTCGCCGTCCCACACCAAAACTTCGACCCGAATCCGGCGCGCAGCGGACCGTCAACCTCCCTCCGCGGCCAATACTCCCTCTGTGGTTGGAGTGGCTCGGAGGGTATAGGTGCTTGGAGTGGCTCGGTCG